TAAAATAGTACATGACCGATTTTTTTTTTTTTTTATGTTGTCGGTCAAGATAACGTCTAGCGCGACCTGCCGCCCTGACACCAACTCACACACATCTTCATCTTACTTGTAAATCGATTTTTCTTTTCTTGGACGTTTTGATGTTAGCTTGTCCATGTCAGTTTTATTCGCTGGGAAAATCAATAAGCAGCTTGAGGTGACTCTGCTGCTCTCTAGTGGCGAGAAGCCGTAATGTTAGCTGGTAACAATCGGAATGCATTGTGGGAGATGTAGTTTGTAGTCAATTCGTGCTCAAAACCTATTTTAAGTCAATCATCGGCCTATAAAATGCTGGGGCGGGCCACATAAAATGACATGGCGGGCCACATGTGGCCCGCGGGCCTTGAGTTTGACACATGTGTTGTAGATGATTTAGCTGCATGGTTGTTCTGTTAACCTGTTGTTGCCATCCTCCATCTTTGTGCACCAGGTTCTACCATTTTCCATTTCATCACCTTGAATCATCACAAGAAAAGACAATATAATATTGTTTTCTGTTTCCTCATGCTCTCCCAGAGGCTCACTGGCAAAGTATGTTGTTTATTCCTGTTGCATAGTCAGTAAAGTTGGACTTTAGCTGTAATGGGGTCATAACAACCATCTATATGTTCCTGGTTTGCGTTAGGTGGCTGCTGGCATATGAGAACACAATGTCTTTCCACTTCAGCAATTACTTTGTCGGCTACCTGAGTGAAACTACAGCGACTCTCGCTGGGGCGGGCTTTACGGAGGAGAAAGAGAACCTCAAATGGTGAGAAATCATTCACCTCCTTTAAATTTGACCTATTATTTGCGCTTGAACAGGTTAGGATAGGTATGTGGGCTTTACAGTGCATGTTCATTACATTTGTTCCTCAAAATCATTCTTGGGTAATAGGATGTTGGTCTGCTCAGTTCTGCCTATTTTGAGCTGTTTTAGGGTGTCTTGTCACTTTAAATCCATACAACTTGCTGCTGGCCACGCCCCCAAACTCCACGGTTACACTCGCATGTGAAAGTGGCTGAAAACAGATGTGCAATTATTCAACGGTACATCTTTAAAAAGCATTAGTAGAGCCTCCTGGACAACCAACAAGAATGCAGCAAGGTTTATGGATTGTAAGTCAACAATAAAATATTTGTCTTTTCCAGCAGCCGTTGTACAGCGAATACAGCGGTAAAACCACCTGATCAAATGTGCTGGAACTCCACTTGAGTTGCTAGGTAACAGGGCTGAGCTTGGCTGGGGTTGCTAGGTAACGGGGCAGTGCCCAAAGATTGTGACTTAACGGTAAGGAGGTTTTTGAAGCGACAAAATTTCCAGAAACCAAAAATCATCAACTTATTGCCAAAAAATGTCGAGCAGTTGGGTTGTTTTTAAAAGCAGTAGAGAAACAAATAGGTAGAAAATGTGCAAACTGTGAATTTTGCACAATAGGTTCCATTTAAACCAAGAAAAAAGCATCCATCTCTTTTATTTAATTCCTATCAAACCGTTTTCTTTGCAGGGATCTGAGCGTGTCCAAGCCGCTCCACGTGGAGTTTCCCCGCTCCATGGTGGAGGTGGCGACGTCGTGGAACGTGCCCATGTCCCGCTTTCTGCACACATGTGAGTGGCTGTCAGCAGTGACTGCAGGAATCTGATTCATGTTAACATAAGGTCACTCACACAGTCATGAAACATTCAGCATTTTAAAGGTCTCAATAATTATGGAAATGTAAAAGAAAATGGGAATTTCATTTATATCTGTATTTTGTTCTTTTTCACCTGTTTGATCATTTGTTCTTTCTTTCTTTTGTCTCTTCTTTAGCTTGTTCTTTTTTCCCCTTTCTTTCTATTACCCTTTTTTCTTTTATCTTCTGTTGTTTCTTTCATTTGTTTGTCCTTTTTCTTTTGTTCTTTCATTTGTTTGCTCTTTCCTTCTTTCTTCTATTTTTTGTTCTCTTTCTCCCCTACTTTCCGTTTTCCTTTTTTTCTGTTTCCTTCTTTGTCCTTTCTTTTTTCCTTTCTGTTCTTTTCTTTAGTTTTTTCTTTAATTTTTTGTCCTTTCTCTTGTTTATTTTGTCTTTTAGTTATTTCTTTCTTTGTCTCTTTTATTTTGTTTTTTCCTTCTTATCTTTATTTTTTCTTTATTTCATCCTTCCTTTCTTCCTTTTTGCCTTGCTGTCTTTCGTTCTTTTGTTTGTTAATCCATCCTTACTTTAATCCTTTCCTTATTTTGTCTCTCTTTTCTTTCTTATATAATATGTGTTTTTATTTTCAGGCTTCATACTCAGGCCTCCATAATGTTTTTTAGACGTTTGTATTTAATATTGGACCATATGAACGTAAACTCTGGATATTTGGGTCTGGTGTCTCGTATTTTTCTCTCAGATGTTTTCAAGAGTGCCGTCAAATTCGGGATGTTCACTGCCGTCATGGTGACCTACATCGCCAGCGCGCTCTTACATGTGAGTTTATATAACTTCACCTTCTTTTAAATGTGTTTGCATCAACAAGATTGTTGAAGTTTTTGTACATTTTAGGGTCTAAGTTTCCATCTGGGTGCAGTTCTGTTATCTCTGGGGTTCATTACGTACGTGGAGCACGGTAAGAGCCGAACTAATGGTTCGTCTTCTCCACATGAAAACATTTCCATTCAGAGGAAGTATTTAACTGCTTCAGTTCAACGTACTGCTTGTCATTTTCCTCCATGTCTGAAGAGAGTCTTTCATTCGTTTCTGTTTTGTTTCAGTTTTTCGGAAGAGGCTTGCCGCCATATTTAATGCGTGTGTGCTTTCGAGGAAATGTCAGCCAAACTGCAGTCACCAAAACAAAAAGGTAATGCGTTTGCAATGAGGCGTTATGTGTTCATATTTTTAATTGCTTTTCAACTAAAGGAAAACATTTAATTAAAAATATAACAAGAGAACAAACTCACATCTCGGCTCCCCAAAGTCAACCAAAAAAAACCTCAGATACGCATGTGTATCTACATTCATTACCGAAGCAAAACATCTTCATAACAGGCACCATCAGTTGGGTAAAACCTCCGAATTTGAAAAATAGGAAAGAAAACATGAACATTTTTTGTAAAACCTTTGTGTAGATCCTCGTAAAGTGCATTTAATTTTCTGAAGCTTTAATTCTTACTTGTTAAATTGTCTGTTTTAGCTACTTTTTCAATGCCTGTCTAAACCGTAACTACGCTGAACCAAAGATTACAAGTTTCAGACGTCAGGTTTTTGTTTTAACCGAACATCAAATTAATTTGTTGCCGTTTCTTAGATCTGCTTTTCTCTGCGCTGTATTCAGAAATATAACAATGAAATCTCTCATGTTTGTTGTTGCTGCACTGATTGTTGAGCAACACTTAACAATACCAGACTATCACATTAGGAAACATGAGATCTTACACTTGATGTGCGACTAAAGAAGCATGAATATCATATTGTAATGCCTACATGGAGTGCTGGAGTGAAAAAACAGTAATCTGTTGCTATTCTTGAATATTTCAGTAATTTACTGAAATGTTTAGTTTGGAAATAAATATTTCAATAAGCTGCCATATATGTGCTGCATTTCGTTCTGTAATTACGTTGCCTAGCTTATGCAGACTGAGTTATGTTATTATGGGTCACATACTTTAAAATAACACATCCAGTCAAGGCTGCATGAGATCCAGAGTCGCCTACCATAATGCTTTCTCTGTTTGCAGAAGCTGTGGGTGTATATGATTAACATAGCATTTTCTGCTTTGGCAATACTTCACTTGACATATCTGGGCTCTGTGTTCAACTCCAGCGTGGACTACATGGAGGAGGATGAGGTGAGATGAGAGACTGCTGCTCCACTGAGGGAATGCACATTTTGCTGCAGTAAAGCAACATCTGAAATGAAAGAAACAGAGAAAATTCAGTTTAATAAACAGCTTAACAGACACCGCTGCACTGCAGCTGATGTGAATCTGTGATGAAGAAGTGCAAGTAACATCGTCTTTGTGCTTTTAATACGAGTCAAAATAATGTTGGACTTTTTTTGTTTTCCTCTAAAACTGTCAGAAGTGGGCAGAGCACCCAGAAATTGTACTCAAGTAAGAGTAGCACTACTTCCACATATTTTTACTTAAGTAAAAGTAAAAAGAAGACATCCAGGAAATGGCTCAAGTAAGAGTAAAAAAGCATTTGATAAGAAGTCAAATAATGAGCAACTGATCAAAATAATCATTTAATATTTAGAAATCACATCATCAGATGGATCAAAATATAAAGTTGAGTTGAAATTTTTGGCATTTTAAGGACAAAAATTACAATAATTTATACTAAGTGTGTGTCTGGGTCTGGTGAATTTTGGTTAAAATGTTTGTTTTTGATTCAGGGGTAGAAAATCCAGAAATGTTGCTTAAGTAAGTAGCGATACTTCATAATTAAATTACTCAAGTAAAAGCACTTTGACTTTAAGATCGGGAGCCCATTCGCTTTATTTCTTCTTCTGTGGTATTGTTAAATTGTTTGCACCTCTTTTATCTTGACCTGCGTACGGAAGAGGATTGGGGCCACTGGAAAAAAAAACCTGTTCTGACTTTAATTTCAGAATTCTGAGATTAAAGTCAGATTTTTTTTTCTTTTTCCCCGTGGCCCTAATCCTCTTCCGTACCTGCGGGAGAGAGATGGGTGTTTATTATTTTTTTAATCTAAATACATCCAGTTTATATTTATTAGGTTGGTTTTTCTTATCACCATTGTAATATATAAATCCATTCCTTTAAGTGAATATCTAAGTGAACCAACAATTGTAAAGCGGCAGGAATCAACTTTAGTTTTGTCTAGGACTTGGAGCGGCCGCCCATGTCATAGTTGTTTTTCTTTGTTCTCGTCAGAATAAAACAAACCATCCATTCCACATAAAACCTTCGTCACGGCCTAATTTTAAATAAACCAGCCAATTGCAGAAATGATCCGGTTACACATGCCTGACCAAATTCCGATTTGTAGCGGACCCTGTGTGTGAAACGGCATTAGCCTAACTTTGATTTGATTTTTGCGGAAATCACACACCAACATCAGAGAAAATCTTTCACGCTGCTTCTCCTTTTGGAGGAGGACGGTGACAGATTCGAGTCGGTGCTCGCATCTTTTTAAAGATCTTCGGTGGCTCTATTTTTATAGCTCTGTGACAAGACAACACAACATTTGTAAAGTATTTATAGTGGAATGCTACGTAGCTTTTAGCTGCGTTCACACTGCAACCTTAAGCGACCCAATTCCGATTTTTTCATGACAGTCCTTTTCGAATGTGACCCGGTGTTCTGTCAGATCAGCATACGTTGTCAGATAGTCATACGCTTAGCTCAGACATGTATACGCAGTCATTACCATATGATTTTATTTAATCAGAAACATAGAATCATGACGTAGATCATCATACACTTTAACAGCTGTATGACATCCTGACTTAGCGGTTAAGTAGATTAATGAGTTTTACACGGGCCTGTGTTGTAGTTGACTTCAGCCGCAGCCAGACCTGCTTTAAATACACTTTGAAACCACGACAACGCATGTATATCTATCTAGTTATATTATATCATATTATAAACAATTTAATGACTTATTTTCGTCATAACTTGTTGCGTATGCTGAACTGACGACTCCGCTGACGGTCGGACTTCTTAATGCGCATGCGCGGACATGCGTACTCACTGCATGTATGCTATCCTGACAGCGTATGGCTATCTGACAGAACACCAAGCTGCTTGGATGTCCAATAAATATCCGATCTTTTCAAATGTGACCTGAATCTTAACAGTCAGGTCGCGTTCAACAGAACGGAACGTCATTGTTACTCGACAAACGTCACTATTCTGCGCCCTGATTCTCACAAGCGGGAAGAAAAACAACAACCATGGCGGACGATAATGAGGATTAAGTTGTTAATATACTGGTTCCGGTCGGACAACAACTTTAAAATCGTAAGCTACGCTCCACCGTTAGCATCCATGTTTACTTCCGCAAACACTGAGCACTTCTTTTTTTCTATGGCGGTTGGCAAAACACTGAGCACACTCTCTGTGACGTTATTGCGCCCTCTACTGCGCATGCACGACAAAAAAAAAATCCGATTTGACAAAAAAAATCGAGATTTTTTCACACTTCGGGCTGCAGTGTGAACGTAGCCTGTGACGCGTGATTTACGTCTTCGCCTCCTGCAGGACGAGATCACCCACCACACCATCCAGAAGTGGTCGGAGCTGAGCTGGACGAGCCACTGGGCCACGTTCGGGTCCTGGATACTGTACCGCCTCATTCTCTAACAACTAGAGACCGAGAAGAAGAGAGAGAAGCAATAATGAGAAGCAGGTTTTCCACTTTTCTGTACTGTGACGTCATCCTGCATCAGACTTGCAGTTTTCAGGTTGGGCTGTATGCGGGTCGGGGAATGCTATTCTATCCTTCTGGGGACTGGTTTCGATATCTGTGAAAAGAAAAAGACAGACCGCAGCGCCTTTTTTCCCCTCCCTTTTGTCTGTTTCACATTGTTGTTTTTTTTGTTTTTTTTATCTGAGGCTCAGTCATCATGGCCTCCTGTTGTGGCAGCGTTTACCACTGTCTCACTGTGACTCACAATCAATAACTATCAACATGGCGGACACTTGACGGTGCGCGTCAGGCAGATGCCCCCCTTAAATTTGGACTTTAACTAGGACATTCTAGCATATTTGTATGATTTGATCCAAGGGTTCATCCACTCGTTTAATATCCTAAAAAATGCTTAAGTTTCAATTACGGTTTGAAGATGTTGGATAGTCAAACTGCACAGTTTTGTAATAAAGTGGAACCTAATGTTTGATTACCCTATCCTTCCACTTCATAATTAGAATCTCAATAAAATACATTTAAGCTTTTGGTTGTAATGTCACAAATGTGAGACGTTTGAAGGCGCTGCGCTGGTGACATTCCCTAGTCTTCTTGTCCTCAACAAATCTAATTAAATGTCCAGAATCAATAATGCAGTTTCCTGTCTCTGTGATGTTTTTTATTTATTTTTTTCCAGCCAGGCTGCATCGTGGCTGCTTGTTTGCGGTTCTGTCAGGGAGCCTAATCAAAACCCACAGAATTGAATTTTTTATGAACCCTGGTAGGCAGGTGGAGCATGGCTAAAGGAGACAGCCGGAGACTCTGGCTGCTGTAACCAGTCGATTGTGTGGAACTGCTTCCAATTTAAAATATGAGAAACCAGCGCACGTCTCTTTCTCCTCCTAGGAACCAACAAAGACTTTCTTTACTGAATTCAACAAGCACATGTTGTTACTAGACTGCATTTTTACCACCAACTAATCCTCCTTTTGTGATTTTTAGATATATTAACGGTTTTAGATGATTCAATCTGACTTTTTTTTTTTTTTACTAGTGTAGTATCCTGATGGTGTTTTTTTTTGTTTTTTTTTTTGTATGACTTGAATTATATCTTTAAACATATGTGATTTTGATTTCCCCCCTTCCCTTCTTTCTACAATATAACTTAAGAATCAGGGTATTTGAGATGTATTAACAAAAATTCTCTTTCAGCTTTGTATAAACTTAAGTAAAATTATTAATTATTCTATACCAAGCATTTCTCTTACCTCCAGGTTTTTACTTAATAGATGCTTTTAATTATTTACAGCCTGATGAAAGAGTGAGTGTGTGCATCAGAAAATGAAGATGTGGTGTTAGATAAGAGCTTTTGTTGATGTGCCAAGTTTCTGCTGTAGTGCCACTCAGTATAATAACCACTGTAAATACCTTATATTTGTGTTTTGTCCCTAAATATGTAAAATGGAACGGCATACCTGTGATATTTTTATAAAATTTTACATGAAACGTCAAGATGCAGTCCTTGTTTTGATTTAGTGAATCTCAATGAAGTAGAATCTTCGTATTTCCAACAAACAATTTTAAGATTAATCTCAGAAAACTTGTATTGAAAATGCTTGAAAGTGCTTAAATTTTGCTGTGGTAAAAGCTTGTGAACTCAATTTATATATATATGTATATATTTCAATAAAAATGTATATTGCATGTAATTGGCATATCATGGGCTATCATGGCTATTGATTTAACCTTACAGGAGTAACAAAAAATAATAATTTATTCAAATTATACATACAGTTTTAACTTAATTTAATATTGTTCATTTTAAGTCTGTTTACTTGAAATAACGATTAATCGATTACTAAATTTCAACAGTCGATTAATCCGATTAATTGTCTCAGCCATACAATAAAGATATCGTTTTGATTACATTTACTAAGACGGTACATCACAATATCAGCCGTGTGTAATAAATATTCTTTATTTGAAATAGTATTTACAAAAAGAATGGATGAACTGTTTGCATAAAGGAGGGCTTAGTCTGATCCAGCCTGGAGTGTTTCTTCACATCCAGTGAGGAAGAGTTTGGGTTAGACAGGCTGAGAGGAGCAGAGGGCAGAAGCAGATGGTGATGGATGGAAATCAGGTCTGCCTTGTGCCTCTGTGGGGGAAGGCAGATGTTGTATTGCAGAGCTGCACGGCGGCTTGAGAAGGGACGTTTGCTCAGCCCCGTCTCCCCTGAAGACCCCCATGTTTACGACGACAAGACCCCAGCAGTGTCTCCAAAGCCATCTTCACAAACGCCTGGAAGTTACTGCTTCTCTCCCTTCGGCTGTCCTGCGAGGGGACAAAACGGAGACAGATACCTTCACTGGGAACACAGCGGACTTTACTACTTCCTGTACTCCAAAGTACTTCCTGTATCTGTCAGGATTTTGGTAAATGCTTACCTCCTTGCTTCTTGTTATCATCTCCTTTCTGATCACCTTTCTTAGGCTGTTCTTTAGGACTCTGAGGTTGCTGTAAAATTAAAACTTAAGTAAATATCAAAAAAATGTAAATATTTTTATTTTGAATGTTGCTCAGTGCCGGTTAGAGCCTTTTTGGGGCCCTCTGTCCCCCATACCAACATGCAAACACCAGATGATTTATCATGATTTAACACACCTATCATTAGCACCATTTGTAATTAGCATGCATTGTACCAGGGTTGTTATGACTATTGATTTTAACCTTACTAGAGGAACAAAATAAAAATAAAATTGGGTTTTGAAATGCAGGGTGGTATTTAAGTGTACCATTTTATTTTAACTATTTGAAACATTAAATTTAATATCTTATGTTTCCCCAACAGTGGCAGCAGCCATCAACAGAAAGAGATTAATCATTATTTATAAAAACAAAATAGAAATTGTTTTTTCATGCGTGATAGCAGTTAGTTTGCAATTTTTAATATTATATATATATATATATATATATATATATATATATATATATATATATATATATATATATATATATATATATAATTTATTTATTTATTTATTTTTGGTGCACTTGGTGGCCCCCTGGTGGCGTGGAGGGCCCTAAGGAGTCGCTTAGCTCGCATTGCCTTGGGCCGGCCCTGAGGCTGCTTCTAAAAAACGATAAATTCCAGGTAATTATGTTTAATGAACCCTAAAACTCTCTGTATTGTCAAGATTGATAGTTTTACCACTTTCTCCACTGTTTGTTCAATAAAAGCCTCAATAAATGGCAATAAGGCAATAAATTTGAAAATACTGTTATAATGTGCATGTTAGTAATAAAATTAAAACTTCTTTATGTGACTGGTGTAAAAAAGGAGGAAATTACAAATGGGAATGTTTTTCAAGAGCATTGTTTGTGTTTGTTGGGCTATAAATACTGTGACACAAGATTTAATAAATAGTTTTGTCACTTTTATTGTTATAAAAGTACTGCTAAATATTGCTCACCCCTGTGTGCTATACAGTTAAATTGATTTATTAAAATATAAAAGTGAGTATTTACCTTGGTAGCTGACTTCTTGTCCGACTTATTACCTGGATGTGGTTAAATTACAAGATGTGATTAAAAAATGTACAATACAGCTATTGTTTGTTTAATCTTAGCTTTGGTTTAGTGTTGAAATAATAATAATAAAAAACAATATTTCACAGAATTATTGTGGTCCATGTTGCTCACCTTTCGTTCCTGGCATGTTGGCTGTTCTCCAGAGTCTTTGCTCTTTTGTGTTTTTTATTAGGAGGGGAAATGCACTGCTTAATGTGCTGCCCGAGTTGGCCATTTATGGGCCGTGCTTGTGAATGGCTCCGTCACTGGGGCCCCTTCGAGAAAGAGCAGCGAGAACAAGCAAAGAGCGCGGTCAGCTGAGCAGCGCGTCCCCTGGCTCTGCGGGCCTTTGCTGAGCCAGGCGAAACCTTCTAATACCGCCATTGTGAACTTACTGGAACTGGGCGCTCACCCATTGTTAGAGGCAAGTAAGGATTCCCATTGTGGTAAATTATATGTTTTAATTTCACTGAACTGAATCAAGTGTGGTCTCATTATATAAAAATACTTCTCATGTTGTCAGAATTGTATTGAATGGTATTGAATATGAAGTTTTGTTGGTGTAGAGTATCCAAAAATTGAAAGATTAGCACTACTTTAATATATTTTACTCAAGAAAAAGTAAAAAGTAGCTGTGCAAAGCAAAAAAGTATTTGGTAAAATACTTGTTTCAAGTAGTACCGATGAAATCACCAAAAATTACATAATCAGACACACCAAAATACAGACTTATGTGGAAACGTTTGGTGTTTTAAAGATCAAAATGAACATAAGTTATATAAATAACATAATTACAAAACAAAGCATCAGGGAAAAGGGGGGGAAAAACACATTGATGTAATTTAGCAATATACAGAACAAAAGTGGTTTGATTTGATTGACAACATAAGGACATAACAGGCCACATAAAAACTTGTGACTGGATTGGAGGGCTTTGAGTTTGACACAAAAACCAATTAATCAATTAATCGCATAATAAATTAAAATGAGCTCAATAATTTTCCTTGATTAATAGCTTTTGAAGAGAAATTTTGTTTACAGAGGCATCATAATCCATTTTATTTATGGTTTTGTGGTTGTGTGTGGTATTTATTTAAATTTTATTTATGTTTTTGGCTGTTCATTTTGGATAATTAAAATATCATCCAGTTAATTTCTCTTTACAAAAGTAATGTTTATTGGTTTCTAAAAGGCCAAACTTGCATAATTATGTAATTATCAATGTGTTACTAAAAAAAAAAAATCGTCTCAAAACAATATTATAGTTTGTCTCACTACTGCGACAACTTATCGTCCAGCACAGATTTTTAATTGTGACAGGCCTACTGCAGTAAATAATTTAAACCAGCCATATTGTTTAAAGTACCCTTGCAGAAGCTTCATTTTTTCCATACTCCAATTAAAATGTGTCAGTAAATCTCGGTGGAGAGAATAATTTACATTAATCTGGTCGGGATTCAGGAGATCCCGCATCAGCCTGAGTGGGTTGGTCACGCGGGTCACGTGACTTGACAGGAACAGAAGCGATGGAGAAAAGCTAAGGAAGGTGAGCCTTTTCTAAACATATTTCACCATCTATCTTTAGTATATCACTACGGGATGACATTTATCTGTTGTGTACCATTTCTACGTGATACAGTCTACAGATCGGCGTCAGATACTTACAAATAAATCTGTTTTTTCTGCCAGAGCGGTGGTAAAGTTGTACTAGCTTCCTTGCTAGTTGCTAACTGACGCTAATTAGCTTCGCTGCTGCCAAAATGCTCTTCTGCTGTGGCTATTGCTGGAAAAATATCCAATAAAGACGCTTTTCCTGACTTTAGCTGGTATTTTAAATGACGCCTTTCTTGTTATATTCGCATGTCAAAGGGAAACACTGACGCATACAGCGATAGCATCGTATTTTCTTTGCTTCTGCATCATCACCTGATTCAACTGTCAGTTGCTGTTATTTTATACCTGAAGCGTTTTCTGTCAGAATAGTTTTATGTGAGTTAAATAATTTGCATTTTTACAGCTGAAATTCTGAGTTTATTTAATTCACCTTTTCGTTTTTGAATTTATTTTATGCACCTCAATTTACATTGAAACCCGTGAGAAGATGGAGCTCACAAAAAATATTTAATTTAAATATTGTAGTAGTTATCGTAAATGTAAGTTGCCTAATATGAAAATGTTTTTATTCATTCAAGAAGTTAATGTTAAAAACAGCTGCAAAGGTTCTGCTTTGAAAAAAAGATACAAAACTTTAATTATTTTTCAAACTAAACATTATATTTAAATTCTAAAAGTAATGTTTAAATTCTTTCTGATAGAGAAACGTATCCTGAGATATCAAAATTAGTTGACGTTTGGTAAATAGATAGTTGAAATACATCTGCTTAATATTTTAGAGTCTATTTGTTATATGGTAAATCAAGTACGGTTTTGTTTTACCAACACTGCTCCATCTATGTCGATGATGGAATAAAAGGTATTTAAGGTTTGTTTATCTATTGTACATCAAAAAAAGTTCTTGATATTTCTATTATTTATTATTTGAGTCTGTTTATTTCACGTAACGATTAATCGATTACTAAATTAGCCGACTATTATTTCAGCAATCGATTAATGTCATTGTCTCAGCCCTTAGCACTAACAAAGTTAGCGTTTTGATTAAATTTACTAAGATGGTACATCATAATATCAGCCTGGTGTAATAAAACTGAAATTCTTGATATTTTTACCCATAATATCGTATAAATTTGTTTCTGAAGCAAAGCAGGTTAATTTACATAACTGCATAACCTTGGAGAAGATAATTCAAAGTGCTTTTCACAAATCAAATATTTTATTTTTAAAATAAAAAAATTGCTATCCTACACTGTATTGTTGTTAGAAGTATTTATTAGAAGCATCTTTTGCTACAAATAATCAAGTGTTGCCTAAAGGAATGATATATTATTGCATTTTAAGCAATAAAAAGCTTTATTATTTTATTATTTAAAGAATAAAACATTAGAAATATATTTGAAAAATATTTTTTTAAATGTGTTTCAAATATTAGTACAGAATAAGCTTCAGTGGTTAAATGAAAAATCAGCAAAATGTGCTAATGTTTCGTTGGAGTAATTAATTATTAAAATAATAATTAGTTGCAGCCCTAAAAAATTAAACATTATAAATGTTAGAAAAAATATTTTGTAAAATGTATTTCTGATATTTGTATGGATTAAGGTTCAGTGTTGAAATGAAAAATCTTCACATCTAATTTTTTTATGCATTCAGTCGTCTGAATAATCGAATATTAAAACAATAACTGGTTTTAGCCCTGAAATGTGAGCCCTTTGTTTGCCAGGACTCTACCCCGGCAGTGGCTTCCTCTCCACCCAGAGTGATTGTGGAATGGCAGCAGTTTGGCAGCAGGTTTTGGCAGTGGACGCAAGGTAAGACGCAGCCACGCATCTGACCACCAGGAAGCGAATGAGTAATTTTTTCAGTTACGATCATCTCCGCCTGTGTCGCCTCTTTTCCCTCTGCAGGTATAATGCTTACCGCACGCCTACCTTCCCACAGTTCCGAACTCAGTACATCCGCCGACGCAGCCAGCTGCTCAGAGAGAACGCCAAGTGTGGCTTTGAGCCAGGGCTGCGCAGGCAGTACCTGAAGCTGCGCAGTCAGCTGTTGGCCCTGCGCTACGGGCCGCTGTCTGAGCAGAGCAGCTTCAGGGCCAGCAGCGTGCGTAGCTCCCGTACCACACTGGACCGCATGGAGGTCAGACTCAGTGAAACGGGACACCAGGGAAGAGAGAATAGGCAGAAATGTGGTTGGAGATGGGATTTAAAACACACAAGTCAAAGCCATGCAGCAAATTGGTTGCTGTGCATTAAGCTGAGCAGCTTGGTTGAAATGGCTGGCGCTAATAAGAAGATGTAGTTTTATTTTGATCATACTTTAGGGCTGGGTGATATGCCTTAGCAATAAAATCAACATTTTATTTGGTTTTTCACACGAGATCCGATTTTCATTTTTAAAAATAAATTAGAAATGACAGAAAATATTTTCAAAAAGTGGCTTTTTTGTTTCTGTTATCCATTCTGAGAGTTGTACAATGGAATATGAGGGCCAGGCTTCAATTATTTTGTATATTTAGAAGAATATAATCATAATATTAGCAGAATTAAGACATAATTTTACCAGAACGTCTTGAAATTACAAGAAAAACAGTCATTTCTGTAGTGTTCACTTCCGTCCCTGTGGACTTCAAAATAAACTCAGTTGTTTGCTCCATCATTTTAAAGATAATTTAATGTGCTAAGTGTTAAAAACTTTAACCTTTTCCTTATCTGTAAACCAAAGGACAACGCCACAAGATGCTCAACGTTCATTTTTTGTTAGTTTTTGTGTTGTAGTTCTCATAAAATTACTATTTTATTCTCCTAATATTAGGAGTTTATTCTTGTATTTCTATGACTTTGGGTTTGTAAATTTATGACTTTATTCTCATAATTATATATACATATTGGCCTGGCCCTAATATTTCATGATAAATTTGACTTAAACTCCAAATAAATGGAATCTGTGAAGAACGCTTGTCAAACAAGATGGCAGCCGCGGCGTGCTGACATCACAACCAAGGAGAGCTTTAGCGAAAGAAAAACAAGATTTCCCTCAATTTAGCTCCTTAAAAGATGAAGTTGATTTATTGCCCAGCCCTGCCATGAATTAAATATATTCGTTTATTATTCATAAACAGCTGATTTATGGTTATCTGAGGAACTTTTTCCAGTCTTCACGTTGACTCATCCCTTTGAGATCCTCTCTCTGCTGCTGCTCTGTCTGGTCTGCAGGACTTTGAGGAGGACCCCCGCGCTCAGGGGGCCCGAGGTCACCGCCGGTCCGTCAGCCGAGGCTCCTACCAGCTGCAGGCCCAGATGAACAGAGCCGTCTACGACGAGAGGCAAGAAGAGCTGCTGCAAATATCTGTTCCTTTCAGCGCAGCGCTGCAACCGACGACTATCTTATTCTCACAATTAAACCGTCACATTCTGCAGATTTTCCATTTAGCTACTTAAGCCTTTTCTTTATAATATTAGAAATACAGCAAGAGTTTTTTTTTGAATAACAAAAGAAATTTTATTTTCCAAAATGTCATAATGTAGCATTCCTTTGGAGAATTTGGGTCAGATAAATATATAGAAATGCCACTTGAGGAGTTTTGGGTAAAACATATTTTCAGACAAAGATGCTTTTATATTAAACATGAAGTATACATATCTTCTTGTACAGTTTTGGTTTAATTATTGCTTTGAATTTGTCTGGGGGTGGGAGGGTTCAGCAAACGGCCTTTCCTTGAGTCTATATGTCAGTGAATGATTAATCAATTACTAAATTAGTTGATTATTTCAGTCACTTGTTCATAACAATTAAAATTAGTCTAATCTGAGTAAATTCCTACCAAAAACCCCAAAATTTTGAGATTAATTTTAGATTTTTTTTTTCTTTTTTTAAAAAAAAAGAAAATTTCTGAGTTTGAAAAGTTTAAAATTTACAACAAAAAACTAAGAAATTTTGAGATTAATATCAGAAACTTTTGAGAAAATGTCTTTTAAATTTCCGGGTTAGAAAAGTATATAAAAAAGGAATAAATTTCCACCAAAAAGTTGAAAATATTTGACTTTCCAAACTCGGAAATTTCCAAAAATTGAAAATTGTACAAGATTCTCAAAAATTTCTGGGATTAATTTAAAATTTTCTGAAATTTTTCTAGCAAATTTTTGACTTCTCAAACTTTTTTTTATAGGAAAATTTTGAGATTATATTTGCAGAAATGTACTCCTTTGTTTTACCTCTGTAATGTCCCTAATACCTCGTCATTACAAACCATTTTTAATTTTGTGCATGTTTTGTGCCGCAGGCCCCCGGGCAGCTTGGTGCCCACCTCGGTGGCAGAGGCCAGCCGGGCCATGGCCGGTGACACAACCCTGAGTGAAAACTACGCCTTTGCCGGCATGCACCACATATTTGACCAACACGTCGACTCTGCCGGTTCGTAAATCGTCCTCTAAGCACGCTAAATCCTTCATATGGACATAATTTTCATTCAGTTTTTTCTCCTCCTTTCTTTATCGAAGTCCCGCGGTTGCAGTTTGCGAATGACGACAAGCACCTCCTGGCCTGCTGCTCGTTGGACGGCACCCTGTCCGTCATGGCGCTGTCGCCGCCGCCTCCGAGCGTGAGGCTGACGCTGAAGGGACACGGCGGCCCCGTCACGGACTTCGCCTGGTCTCTCAGCAACGACATCATCGTGTCGACGTCGCTGGACGGGACGCTGCGGATCTGGAACACGGAGGACGGTCGGTGCATCCGGGAAGTCAGAGACCCGGAGTCGAGCGAGTTGCTCTGCTGCACCTTCCAGCCGATGAACAACAACCTCACTGTGGTCAGTTCCACCGTCCTGCGGCTGAAATCGCCTCGTAAATTTGTTTTTATCGATTCTCCTTTCAAAAGCCACTTTACTGCTTAAACAGATTTATTGTTAGGAAATTACGCAGAAAAATATTCTTACTTACTCCAAAGAGATTGTAATTTTAATTAGGTTTGGCTCATTAAACACATCGTTACTGTAAGAAGACAAAGTTTGGTGACAAACACTAAATTCACAAAACCGTAACTTAATTTTACACAAATGTAACTTTATTGTTTCACTTATTTTTATTTAAGAAGTTAGTGATATTTTGTGTTTTTGGGCTTAAATTTCAATAATAATGGCCTTTTATAAAGTTTTTAAAAAGTCTTAAATTTAATTTGCATCATACAGGGTTTCTCCCAGTGCTTTGTAAGCCTGGCGGGCCTCCAGGCTTGTTGGGCCCCACCAGGCGCAGCTTTGCTTATTTATTTAAGTTTTTTTTAACGTTTGCATTTTTAAGTCTTTATAGTTGGTGTTCAGATATTAATATTCCAATCACATATAATTATCAAGTGATATTTTTAAATTTTCTGCCAACTTTAAACATTTTATAACTCAGAAACACGACGAGCCGCTGGATGAACGACTGCCTGAGCTCCCCATCCGCCGAGCTTAGCAAGTTTTCTGGCAGAAACCTTGATCATATATATTTTTTTATTCAATATTTCAATAGGTTTTGACATTTTAGCTTTTACATTACCAATATGATCCTTCTAAAGCAATTTGTTGTCGAGCATCAACCGCAAAAATCTGATTTCATATAGTATTTCAGAACTGTTTATCACTTTTTTACTAAATAGTGCAAGTTTTGTTTTAAAAGATAGAGCGATAATTTGGCATTTCTTCTCCTCTCTCCAAAAATAATGTAAAAATATGGTTGTAAGTGAGAAATGAGAGTTCACATTATCCACTGCTTTACTCCAGTGAAAGATGGAGTAAGAATATTCAAGATAAGAGGAAAATTAGGAAAACTAATTTTCATTAGAGAAGCTGACAGTCATGACCTAAATGTTCGGGGATCTCAACAGTCGTTGGCGTTTCTGCTCACGATGTCCAAGAAGCCTTAAAATAACTCCATAATTTATTTCAGTAGTATAATCATAACTGAAAATGTTTGGAAATCCATCTTTTAATTTGTGTTTTCCTGGTTAGAGATTATTCATGTGCGGTTTGGAGCAAGTCGGTGAATAAATGTGTGATTTAGATCCAAATGTATGCAATAAATCAGGGGCCTAACCCCGGAGGTTCATCATATTTACTGCCGAAATTATTTTCAGATCTTGATGCGAGAATTTCTTTAAACTTTGAAAATTGTTTGTGCCATCATTCGGTCTTATGGAAGAACGAACGCTCGTCTTACCGGTTGTGTTTTGTTGAGGAAAAGAGTAAAATGTAGATTTTTTATTTCAACAGATTTAGTTGTTTTCCTTCCTTTAGTCTCACAACAAGCAGCTTTTATTTTATTTTATTGTTATTCCAAACGTTTCCTGTGTGTGAAGTTCATTGATAATCGTTGCATGCTGAAGGAAGCCCTTTACCTCGTAAATGGCTGAACATTGATTAAAATTACACTATTAAATGTCAGCGCTTGTAACCAGGATTAGAGTTGTAGATATTTTTGAATGATTTTATTTTTAACCTTTTTCTTTGCAATGATGAATTATCTCCCTGAGGAAGCTGTTTTGTAAAATAAGAGTTGTTTACGTTAATTTATGCCGCTATGAATCATGGGGGAAAAGTGGATTTGGGTTGAAACCGGAGCTGCTGATGTCAACATGTAATTAATCTGAAAATTTTAACACTTTAATACAACATAAAACTGAGAATATTCTGACATGTTTGAGACAATAAAACGTTTTCCTGAACTTTTTTTTTTTTTTAAAACGTGCGTACAGTGTGGGCAGTGGCCCCGGGCGACATCAGAAAGGGGCGGAGAAAATAAAATGCATCTTATCTGACAGTTGTCCAATAAACAGGTTTGCTACGACTTTACGCCTCTGTAGTGGAGCAAGTTCCCCTTCGGTCAGAGGGTGTACCAAACCATAAAATTAAAATTCATCTCGTTTATTTAAAAAAAAAAATGCAGAAAAAATTCTAAATGTACAATATTTTTTAGAACTTATTAATCTGAACATAATTTTAGATGTATTCTATACGGAAAAGGATTAGGGCCACCGGGGAAAAAAAATAGAATTCAAAATTCTGAGAAAAGAATCTCAGATTCTGAAATTCTGAGATTAAAGTCGGAATTCTGAATTCCGAATAATTCTGAATTCTTTCTTTTTTTTTTTCTTCTTCAGTGACCCTAATCCATTTCTGTAATTCTAAGGAGCCCGTCTTTTTCTATTTATACTTTCGCTTGTTTGCCCTCTTATTTAGGCAAACAGGCAAAAGTTCCTGGATGTTTTTGATGCCATCAAGTTAAAGCAAAAGTTGTGACTGATAAAAGATGAATAGTTTGTGTTGTTGGTTAGGTTTTCCATTTAGGACAATTTTAATTTACTAAGAAATTTGCACTAAAAACCAAAACACTTGGTCAGATTTTGTGACAAAAGATCAACATTTTTTTTAAAACATTTTTTTATTTTTCTGCCTCATACCGATCAACAATATTGTGACAGTTTCAACAAATATGTAAAGTAATGTATGTTTTATAAAAGTAAGTGGAGTTGGGTTAATCTGGTTAAACACCAGTTAAACACCAGCTGAACATTGCCGTGTTTCCGGTGGCAGCAGATCTCGTGCAGATCAGTTCTGAGTGTCGGTGTCTGCGCTCCCCGCCGTCCTGATGAAGGCGTTCTCGTGTTCCAGGTGGGAAACAGCAAGCACCACCTGCAGGTGGTGAACATCTCCACTGGGAAGAAGGTGAAGGGGGGCTCCAGTAAGCTGACAGGCCGCGTGCTGTCTCTCTCCTTTGATGCTCCGGGGAGGATCCTGTGGGCTGGCGACGACCGCGGCAGCATCTTCTCCTTCCTCTTCGACATGGCAACAGGTACAGGCGCAGCTTTTCCATCCGACTGAGGCCGCTTTACAAATTCTAATCAGGTTTTCCCAGAATAACGAGCAGCGGCTCCTGGTGCGTCTCCCTCCTCTGTCCCTCCAGGGAAGCTGACCAAAGCCAAGCGGCTGGTGGTGAGCGAGGGCAGCTCCATCTGCAGCATCTCGGCTCGCTCCTGGATCAGCCGCGAGGCCAGAGACCCGTCCCTGCTGGTCAACGCCTGCGTCAACAAGCTGCTGCTCTACAGGTCGGCTTCCTTTATTAGCAGCTTGTTTACTCACTGCTGCAAACTCTAAACAGGGTTCGGACGGCCGAGTCAGATGTTTAAAAATGCTTCAGCGTCAAGTGGGTGCCTTCAGAGTTTTGGAAGATGTTTCATTTCTGTGTGAAGAAATTAAATATTTTCTTTATTTGGTCATAAAGTGCAATATAACGTTTGATAAAAGCTTAAATTTAAATGTTTGGTTTCTGGAGATTTAATTTTTTTCAGTATTGTTTTTATTTCCAAAGTCTGGTCCTGAAAAGTTTGAAAACTTACCTTGAAAATGCTTGAAAGTCCTTGAATTTTACTCTGTGAAATGGCTGTAATTAGACGCCAAAATCTATATTTTTTTTACAGAATTTGAACCTGCTGAAGCTAAAACTGCCGCTTAAATAGTTCTGTGTAAAACATATCTACAGACAAATATATTTTTAATCTTAAATTCAGCATGTCTGTATATATTTTGGCTTAATTACTGCTCTAAAAATCTGTTTTTTTTTTTTTAGAAAATTACTTCAGTTAATTTGCTAAAAATTACTAAATGAATTGACGATTATTTCAGTAATTGATTAATCGTGCTTAATTTGATTGTTTCAGCACTAATTTTAGTTTAGCTTGTTTCTCTTGTCACCAAATGTTATTAATAATAGTGAACTCTTTAGTATTTTTCTTATTTCCAAAGTCTGTTCCTGGAAAAGTTTGAAAACTTTCCTTGGAAAATGCCTGTTTTTTCTGTGAAAACGCTGTTCGAAGCTGTAAATATTCAGCTGTTTCTCATTTATTGAAACCCTTTCCTAATCCCAGGGTTGTGGACAACGAAGGAACGCTGCAGCTGAAGAGAAGCTTCCCCATCCAGCACGGATCGCAGAACGTCCACAGCATTTTCTGCCCCCTCATGTCTTTCAGACAAGGGGCCTGTGTGGGTAAGGAGTCCCGCCGCTCCCGCTCTGGTGGGCTTTGTGCTCCTGCTGGGGTCTCTTAGCGAACCTGCTGCGATATCTGAATCAAAAATGAGACCAAACTGCACAGCGAGCTGCAGGCCATCCAGTGCAGAGAAGGAAGAAAGACTCAGACATGAAATCAAAAATAGCACCAGGCTGCTTTGGGATTGAAAGGAAATATCTGGAATTAGAAAATTACAGCAACAAGGCGGCCCGTTTTTCTGCAGCACGTTGCAAACATGCTCCCAGCTTCCCCACGTTTCACTTTTATCTCCTATTTTTATTTCACACCAAGGCGCGCCGCTGTCTGGATCACACTTGGGTTTCCCAATTACCAGAAAAGTTAAAAATACCTGAACTTAAGCAGAGAAAAATGATCGTTTCTGTCAGAGACGATCGTCTGGGCGAGATGCTTTTTACGCTCACTTGAATGATTTAAATGATCATACTTTACTAAATAACACTGACAGTTATTCCTGTTTTTAGTATGAAATTAATAGTTTTAACACTTAATTCTGTTGAGAAGTTTAAATTCAGTCGTCAGGTATCTAAATGTCACAAATTTTAATTTGATTGTTTCTTTTTTTCTGAGTAGAAAAGTAGTTTTTAATAATCCAAAAACTTCACGGACTGACTTGAGTAACCCTCCACCCATCTCTGATAATATTTAGTCAGATTTCTCGTTTAAAGTTGCACTTTGTTTAGTGTCGGTGTCACCCACCCCTAGTTCTGAGACAAAAACACAAAATCTCAACTCAGACTTGCTAAAAACATCCAGATTTATTTTCTGTCTGTTGTTTTCACTACATGGAAAAATCATGGAGGTGAAAACATGACCTGTTTTAGACTTTCCTGCACTGAATGTGGTCAGTTCATTGTTTTCTATATTCATCAAAGCTGCAGTAACTTTTATATAAAAAATGTTTTTTAAATATTTGTTAAACATGTCATGACGGTTTAATATCTACTGCCAATCAGAGGCAGCCTGTCGCAGTAACAAATTAATCAATTAATCATGATAAATGAAAACAAATTCAATAATTTCCACTTGCATAATTTATTATTTTTCTCTTTTCTCTCTCTTCCTACCAGAAACTGGATGACAGGAGTCTTTAGTTTGGTGTTTTGGTCTCAACTAGTACATTTGTTTTAGTTTACAGAGACTATAATTCATTTTATAAGCTGATTTTTGTTGTTGTTTTGTTTGTTTTCCAGTTCCAGAGTTAAATGTATGTGAGAATATAAAGTTTATTGATCTTTGAGAATATGTTCTTGCATTATTACATCAATTTATTACTGGAAATTGTCTCAAAACAATATTATTGTTTATCATCCAGCAAAATTTGTTACCGTGACAAGCCTAGCTGTTACTCATGCTCATGTACTCGCTGCTAAATGAGCAAATGGTGGAGAAACATCTCATCGTTAACCGTTTATTTACCGTCATCGGTGCTAACTAGCATGATCTGTAGTTTCATCCCAATGTTAACCTTCTTCTTCTTCTTCTGTCTTTGACTCTCTGCGTCTCAGTGACCGGCAGCGAGGACGGCTGCGTCTACTTCTTCGACGTCGAACGCAACACCAAGGCCATCGTCAACAAGCTGCAGGGTCACGGCGGCCCGGTGCTGGACGTGAGCTTCAACTGCGACGAGAGTCTGCTGGCGTCTGCCGACTCCACCGGCATGGTCATCGTCTGGAGGAGAGAGCAGAAATGAAAACAAGCTTCCATCCACTACATCTGAACATGTACGAGTAAAACCCGACCTGCTGCTCTTTACCGTCCAGTCCCACCGTGTAGGTCTTCACTGGAATGTATCAAACATCTAAAGTAGTGAAACTAAAGTGCAATCAGATAGAGCCTCTTCCTGCGTGGGAGGGAAGAGTCCGTCCTCCTGCAGCTGGAACCGACTTCACCACCATGCATGCGTCATGGCTCACCTCCAGCTGGCGTGAAGAGGACGCGCTGTAATCTTACTGGAAAAAGCAACACTTTGTATCACACTGATGTTCCCTCCGGCGTAGCTCCCTCACTATTTATGTAACTGTTATTCAAGCAGCGTAATCAAGTGTTGTTCGCTCTCAGTCGCAGCCTTTGAGACCATGTGCATGAAACAAGCAGGTCGTTTATCACTAAATGTTGGCGTGTTGATCAGTGTGTTTGTTCGTGTGTGTGTGTGTGGTGATTCAGATAATTTATTTAGCACAATAAATGGCTGCATTGTGATTTATCCGTGTCAAATGTTTTAAATGATTTGAAATATCGGAGGAGGGTGCATGTTGAAATATTTGTTGAGATCAGCAGGGGTGTCCAAACTTTTTGTCACGTGGGATAAAATCAAGTCAAAAGTAAAAAATAAATAAAAATTTTAAATCAAACAAATGAAGTTGCCTTTTTTATTTTTAGATTTTTTTTATGTAGATCCAAAATGATTTTGCATATTTTTTTTATTAAATGACTTGTTTTTCAAATAATTTTAGGATTAATTTAACATATTTATTCTCCATTTCAAGTCACTTGTCTTCAAAACGTTATTGGATTTAATAATTTTAAAAATGTGGTTCTTATTCTAAAACTTGAAAAAGATGAATACTTTCTATCATTTTAAATATTTTTCATTGTAAGAAATTTATGGTGGTAATTAGTTTAACCTGATTTAAAAAAAAGTTCAGTTAACAAATTTGTATCTTTCCTGAGGTGCAGTTTTGGGGCCACCAAAAAAATCAGTCGACGGGCCACGAGTGGCCCCTGGGCCACACTTTGGACACCCCTGATGTAAACAAACTGGATTTCCTTCAACAGACTTCTAATTATAATCTAGAAATTTATGTAGCGTTGAGACTGAATCTATTCCAGAAACGTAAAGGGACAGTAATATATACATCTTTTAATTTTAAAATTATTTTTTTAAATTCATTTTATGAAATAAAATAAAAAATTATGCAGCATTTTTATAAAATAAATTGCTATATGATTCCAAAGATACTTTGCAATTTAACGCCTTGAAATTGGGCCTCTGTCTCTTTAAGAAGCTCCTGTTCTTCCCTCAACGCTGCGTATTTAACCCTTTCATGCATGAATTATGATCTTTAGTGTCAGGATTTTTTTCCATTTTTTGGGGGGGTAAAAAGGGGATTTTCTGAAGGCATAATAAAAAGGTAGGAAAGAAAAAATAAATTATTTTTTTTATGTGATCGAAATAACAACAAATACAAAGTTATTATTTGAAAAATACATCAGTAGTATTGTTCTTTAGGGATGTCACAATATATTTTTTACCGTCTACAGTAGAAGGAGGGACCGGGTCAGTTGACATGCTTTTTGGTCTGTCGGCCATATTGGATTTAACAAAAATAATTTCTTGCATTTGCAGCTGATGCCAGTAGTTGATGGTGTATTTTATGGTGCATTAGTTTTCACCTCAGTGAAAACTAATGCACTGTTGTTCAGTGGATTAAGCCCTTAAAGGGGCAGTATCATGCGTTTTCCATAATATGGAAAACACACAATACGGAATGTTGATTTATGGGAATAAATCATCATTTGTTTGATTTTATAGCAAAATCAAATAACTGTCACCTTCAGTGGCTATGAAAATGTAAATATCAGACATGACTAAAGTAATTTCACTTCACAAATTTAATGCCTTCAAATTGGGCCTCTGTCTCTTTAAGAAGCTCCTACTCTTTCCTCTATCTATTAAATGCTAGTTTATTGGTAGGTGGCAGGCTGATGCTTCGTTTTTGTTTCTTTTGTCCATTTCTGATGTGATCCAGATCTTTAAAACCTTTTAAATTTGAATTGGTGAGACCCTGAATATGTTGTGCTACTAAAAAAATCAAATTATTTCTGTGAATATAATGCTTTAGCGCCACAATATTTTCTGAAGAAAGTTGGAAATCATAGAGATGGGGCAAAAAGAAAGTCTCATTATTTGTTTGTGATCCATGCTTTAGGTCTGCTGAAGCCATAAAAGTGATGCATTGGTGTTGCGTTGCCAGAATAATACATTAATGATACTCCAGGGATTATTCTTGTATTTCAGTATTCACACTGTTTTCAGGAGAAAAGAAAATAAGATTTAAAAATTAATTTTACATGCATGGAAAGTGTAATTTTGGATGCACATCTTGTTACAGTAAAGGTTTTGAATGTTAATGTTTCTGCGTCCATCTTACCAGAAGTCATGGTCAAATTCTTTTTTTTTTTTATGATGAAACTGACTTGACTTTCCAGAATAATACCAGCTAAAGATGAAAGTTTCAGGTTGTCAGTTATCTGAAGATTTCAAAACGGCAGGAAAACCTACATGAGGTCAACAGAAAGACTTATTTTTAAAAATACCGCAGGTGTGTTTTCCCTAATGGGTGAGATGGCCTTTTTGTTGTGATGGGGAAGAGGGAAGCAGACTAAAAATAAGCAGCAGGAGATGAGGAGGCCGACGCGATGCAACCTGTCAAACCTGGAATATTTTGAGGATTCTGCTCATGGAAACATCTCTGACATGCACAGCCTCAGAGCTCCAAGGCACACAATAGAAATTAGCTTGCATTCATTTTTGAAATATAAGCTAATTACTTTTTAGTGTAATTATACAATCATCCCCTGTCTGGATTTCAATCAGACTCTAATTAAGATAAAAGTATGCTATATTCTTCCATCATATCCATTTTATTTTAACGTAGCATAATTATTCAGCGCAGCTTCTTACGTAAGGTTTGTTTTATGAATGTTTTTACCTCAAGTGCAACTGGCATTCAGCATCATATAGCTTTTTTTTGTTGTTGCATCAGACGTGGTTTTATTCCTGAAATGATGTGTTTTAACCAATCAAAACATTTATAAGGTACACAAAGGAAAACTAATTTTGGATGCACATCTTGTTGCAGTCAGAGTTTTGAATCTGCATGAGATTTGTGAGTATAGAGAGAAAATATAATGGTTAGTTTTCAGCATTTTGTTTCCATTTAAGCCGTTTCAGAAGCTGTAAACCAGAATTTGTACACAAACTTCTTAGGGGAATTTTTCAAAAATCAGAGTTAGTTGTCAGCTAAGCCATTTGATTATGTCTAAAATCTAACTAATATTAAAGTTCCAATAAAAAAGAAAGATTTTGAGCTTAACACCTCTTATTTATGCTTTAAAACCTGAAACTTCTCATTGTTTTTATTGGATTAATTAATTTCCTCCTGCAGCTTCTAAAGAAATGCAGTGAAGAACTAAAAGTTTTCTTTGCAACAGCAGGTTGAAACAAGTTAGTCTGACTTAATTGCTTTAAAACTTTATGAATTTGTCACAATCTCACAGCCGTTGTTATTGCCTAGAAGCAGATGTTGTGTTTATGTTTCGGCAATTCATAAACAGATCAATAATCATGTTTGCATATTTGAACACATATTTAAAACCTAAAGTGCCTTTTAAAAATATACATTTTAAAGTGTGCTTTATTAGAAATATGTCACAGATTAACTCGTGATAAATGAATTGTGGTTTTAACTTTTTTTTTTTTACTGATGAACTAAAGATTTCTGACATCCATTTTTATTTAACCCCCTCTGATTCTCCTGTGTAAATTCAGGAGGAACCAATAGTTTCAGAAAACACATAATTAGCAAAAAGAGTTTGTAATTTAACAATGAATGAATCCATCTGTTCTGTTAGAAAATATCAGTGAACAAAAACAATCAAAGTTTGCAGTAAAGCTGTTAAACCTCTGAAAGAGAAACGCCTCAAACCTAGAGAGAGTATAAATCATAAAATGATTTATATGGTAAATCATCATGGTAACCTGTAGAGGTCAATAAATCAGATGGGAAAATCTATCAATAATACAATTTCAGATTCCAAAACTGAGTTTTTTGGTTTACATGAACCCAAAAATTATATTCTAGTAAGAGTAGCAACATGTTTTTACTCAAATAAAAGTAAAAAGTAGCCATCCAATAAAAAAGTATTTGGTAAAAACTAGACTCAAGTACTGAGTAACTGATCAAGTTATCAATCATTAATATTTAAAATTACATCATCAGATGGACCAAGATGTAAAGCTATGTGGAAATTTTTACATTTTAAGGACTAAAATGTGAATAATTCATATAAGTAACATGATTAATTACAAAATTAAAAAAATAGATTTTTTTTCTAATTAGTTTCTTTCAGTATAAAACTAACAGAAACTGCAGGTGTGAGTCTGTGTTTGGTTAAAACAACCTTCATTCAGGAGGTTATGCAATAGAGGAGAGCAAAGCTACTCAAGAAAAAGTGAAAAGTACAGTGTGGCAAAAAGAAAATTACTCTGAAAGGTAAATTTTTCCAATAGGTTTCTCAAGTAAATATAACTGGTTAATGGTCAGAAAACATCTGAATCAGCCTTTTCCACACCTGACACCATACTGGAGAGATAATTCAAATATTTGATTCAACACATAAAGATGCTTCTGAGAGCTGAAAATGGAGACCACTGGTTTAAATCTGCGTGTTAAAATGGCCTAGTCAAAGTTCTGATGTTAATCAAAAGAGGAATCTTGTGGCCATAAATGGCAAATAATGTTAGCAGACACTTCTGAGCTATTTTGAGAAGAAATTTGCTTGCTGTCATTGCAGCTGCAGTATGCCACTTTTATAAAAAATATAAATATATAGGGTTTTTTTTACATATTTGTTGAAACTGTCACTATGTTGTGACCGTAGGGTTCGAGACAAATAATCTATGAAAAAATCAAGCTCCTCTCTATCTAGTGCTGTCAATCATCCTATGTGTAACGCTGCTCAACCAATAGCCATCACTGTCAATAATAACTCTTTGAAAACTTTTAATTAATGAGTTACAACAACATTTAATTTCCCTTTGGGATCAACAAAGTATTTTTGAATTTGAATAAATGGTAAGTTGTTCCTCCGCCATTAGCACATCGACCGGCGCTAAGACCCTCCTCCTGGCTCTGATTGGTTGCTTTTTGTCCTTAGCTTCAGGCTGCACAGAGATTGGGTAGAGGAGATTAATCTTCCCACAGATTATGTCTCATAACAAACTTTCATAACAGCAAAACTTTTTTTTTTTTTTTTTTTTATAAAAGCTGCATACTGCACCTTCAAAGTATTGACATTGGATAACTACTGTTTACATATTTTGTTAACTGTGAAAACAAAACCATGTATCATTTTCACCTCATCGTCTATCACATAAAATCCCAGTAAAACACGTCAAAGTTTGTGGTTTTCACATAACTA